GTATGTATGTATATATGTATATCTGTATATATATGTATATATACACAATATAATATATATATATATATATATATATATATATGCCAACGTCAACGTGTCTTTTTGCTTCATCACACGCACTAAGTATGTAACCGTTGATCCATTCTTTCCCTTCTGCCAACAGTTGCTGACAAATCTCTCGTAGGCAGACACTCTCGATCAAACAGTTATCTCTTCGGACGCATCAACGAAATGGCTGTACTGTCAGCGGTCAACGAAATACCCAATCAGAGGCCAGAGAGCACGGACTATACCTACCCCTCGGCCAATAGAAACGCCGGAAATGCCACCATAACCGAGGCCGCCATCAACATCCCACTCTCCAATGTCTCGTCCTTCAATAACCTCCACGCAACCTTGCCTAACCTACTTCCCGCAAGCATGCGTGACAGAGACAGAGACGAGAAGCCTTTGTGGCGACGGCTGGTAGGTGAGGTGCGTGCGCGTGGCTTCAGAGGACGTTGGCTGCTGCTATGTGTGGTGGTGGGGGTGTGCCTGTGCTTGCACTGGCTGTCGATGGTGGCTAGTGCGGATGTGGGCGACACCTCCCCGATGGTCATCGAGCATGCGGCGGTGGAGAACTACAAGAACAAGGTGTGGGGGTATACATGTACACGTATACGTATATCGGCATGCTTTGTGTATATGCGGGTGCTCTATTGGTAGTCTGTTTGGTGGCTGGGTGTGGGGGTATACATGAACACGTATACGTATATCGGCATGTTTTGTGTATATGTGGGTGCTCTGTTGGTAGTCTGTTTGGTCGCTGGGTGTGGGGGTGTATATGTACACGTATACGTATATCGGCATGCTTTGTGTATATGCGGGTGCTCTATTGGTAGTCTGTTTGGGGGCTGGGTGTGGGGGTGTACATGAACACGTACACGTATATCGGCATGTTTTGTGTATATGTGGGTGCTCTATTGGTAGTCTGTTTGGTGGCTGGCTGTGGGTGTGTACATGTATACGTATACGTATATCGGCATGTTTTTGTGGATATGTAGGTGCTCTGTTGGTAGTCTGTTTGGTCGCTGGCTGTGGGGTTGTACATATATACATATACGTATATCGGCATGTTTCGTGTATATGCGGGTGCTCTGTTGGTAGTCTGTTTGGTCGCTGGGTGTTGGTGTATGTGGCGGTGGATGTGGGCGTGTGCGTGCACTGATTCCCCTGTGTGGCTATTACTGATGTGTGCATATGCTATTAAGCGTGTGGCTACTACTGATGTGTGCATATGCTATTAAGCGTGTGGCTACTACTGATGTGTGCATATGCTATTAAGCGTATGGCTGTGAAATGACGAGTGTTGGGTGTTCTTGCTGTTGTGTTACGCTATGTTGCACCAGAGAGCGGTATCTCGAAGGTGCAAGCGATCCAGTTCATCTCTTCCTTGCCCAGGCATCCCATGTATTCTATCTGATCTATATAATATACCTATGACTATACCTACCATTCCCCCTTCCTATATGTATTCCACTCCATCGCAAGTACTATATTATATATAAATTTATTCCATTCCATCCCAAGTACTATATTATATATAAATACATTCCACCCCATCTCAAGTACTATATTATATATAAATACATTCCACCCTATCCCAAGTACTATATTATATATAAATACATTCCACCCCATCCCAAGTACTATATTCCATCCCTCTGTATCACCTACCTTTTACCTACCATTCCCCGCTGTCCCGCCCCACGCACACCTACCCCATGACTCATCCCACCCACCCTCACCCCCCCTTCCATCGCCTCACCTGCAGGATGCTCGCTATGGCATCCTCATTGACGCAGGCAGTAGTGGGTCTCGGCTGTACGTGTACCAGTGGCCGGACAGTGCGGCGAAGGAGTCGTTGGAGAACTTCCTGAAGATCAAGGAGTCTCAGGACGCCAACGGACAGGGCCTGGTCATGAAGATAGAACCAGGTAGACGCATTAGGGTAGCACATAAGTGTAGGGCGTATAAAGTGGTTGGTCATGTACGTTTATTGCGTATATAGTGGTTGGTCATATGGTTTATTGCATACGCAGTGGTTGGTCATATGGGTTACTACATACGCAGTGGTTTCTTACATACGCTTATTGCATACATTGTACTTGATCACACACGTCTATCGTATAAACGCGTATGTATATCTGCGTAGTATCCTGTAAGTGTCTGCCATACGTATTCCTGTTATTCGTTAATTGCGGTTGTCGGATATCAAAGATCCGGCAGATTGGATGGGAGTGCAGGCGGTTTTGCTGTGAAGATGTGCGCGTGCAATGTCACCTGAGATTGATACCGTGCAAGCGTTGAAGTTCTTATGATATATGGTCACACATGGCGATTAAAGTAGGGTTTTAGGGTTTGGCCTGTTTCCAAGTATATAGCTAGGCACTTCCCTGCTTACGAGCATACCACATCAATACAAGGTGTCAGTGTCAATGCCACGTGTCATATAGCCATTTGTTTCTGTCTGTCACAATACGCACATGTCATTTACTTGTCACAGACATGTCATTTTACCTGTCACATACGTGTTACAGACGAGTCCCATACATGCCACTTCAGTACACTTCACTACCAAGTACACACCCCATCCCATCCCTTCATTGCCTTCCCTGTCCCGTGTCTTGTGCTTAGGACTGTCTTCGTTTGAGGACAACATTTCCGGTGCGTTTGTGTCGTTAGTCCCGCTGCTTGACTTTGCGTTCAAGCACGTGCCCGCCGCACAGCACGTGCACACGCCGCTGTATGTACTGGCCACTGCTGGGCTGAGGCTGATGACGGAGGAACACCAGAGCCAGATGATACAAGACATCAGCAAACGTATCCCAGAGGACTACGACTTCGACTTTAAACAGGGCAATATGCGCATCATCTCGGGAGAGGAAGAGGTATGTGGCTGGTGTTTGTGTGGAGGTTCGTCTGTATACAAATATATATATATATATATTGTGTGTGTGTGTGTGTTTGTGTACACCTATAGATACGATCCATTCTGTACCATTGCAAAGCAGTTTCGCAGGGGTTTTAGATACGCGCTTTCAAGGACAACGGAGGTGACGTTGACTGCTTTGCATCGATCGTAATATGTCTTACGTGTATTGCACTTTCGGTTTGGATTGTACTGCCATTCTTAGACGAACACCTTCTGATTCATCCATTGGGCTTACCTACATATACAAACATGTACCCCTCCTCTTCTGTAACGCATCCCTTTGACTACCTACACATACCAACCTACACTATATACACCCCCTCTTTAGCGCTGTGGGCTTTATCCGCCTCGGTATTGGACCATATACTAGGGAGGACACTCGGCAACAAACACACGTCTAGTAGCAACGCATCACAGTGCATCTGAATGTCCAGTCACATATCACTACTACCTGATTGACATTACCCCCCTTCTTAACCCCCCCCCCCCCCTCCTCCCTGGTTTTTGTTGTTTGTTTTTTGTTTGTAATGCAGGCCATGTTTGCTTGGGTGACGGCCAATACGCTGATGGGCCATTTGGTAACCCATGGCAACCCACGCGGCCCTACTGTGGGCGTAGTGGACATGGGCGGCGCCTCTTCACAGGTGCGTGTTAGTAGCGTGTGCATGCAAGTGCGGTACCATTTACTCTGTTGCTATGGTGACGGGTCTGTGGAGGTATGCTGGCGTATACACGAGTACCCCTTTCTAACCTCTGATACACTGTGAACTATTACGCATACTGCAGACATCCAGGCAAAGCCACTTGCTGTCTTCTCAACCCTATACCCTAAACCTTGAACCCTAAAACTTAATTCCTTAAACCCTAAAATCCCATCTCTACCCATTTACCGTTCCCACAATCGCAAAGATCGCTTTTGAGATTCCGTCGACGCAGAGTGTCAACACACATGTCAAAATCTCTGACACCATCCCCGACAGCTCAGTCATGGATTTGGAGCTAGGCGATGCCAATTACAGGGCATGTTTGAGTGGCAATCTTGTATAGATCACAGGGCACTAGCCAAAAACAGATAAATATACATATATTTATATTTATATATGTATATGTATATATATATATATATATATATAACCAAATACAGC